TTGTTAGTTAGCCATTGCACCAGGTCTTAACTAAGACAGACTTGACTGTTAAGCTGGTTGTAGCTAGTTTTTATAGAGAAATTCACATTCATTGCACCAACCAAAGTACACGCTAGTAAGACCAGTCTTAAGGAGTCTACACCCTGTCTTATTTGTACGATTTATTCAGACGACAAGAAATTAATTCGGGCATGTGTGTAACTAAAACCTTGCGCATCAAACGCAATTTTTGGTCAGCAAAAATGCACATTTTATTAGCTTCAGGTCGAGGCAAACTTTAGCCAGCGACATGAACTCCTTGACCAATCCTGGTTGTCTCCGCCGTTGGCATGACGACAACCAAGATGACAAACTGAATCAGTAATTAGAACTTTATCTCAAACGTTAAAAAGATCAGAATCTTTAAAAACAGCTCAAACTGAGCTACAAACATGGAATGTAGAAGCACTCAAAGTTTCAGCTTCTGAATGAAGCTCTTTACACTACTTTTACTTTTCCAAGCAAAGTAGTCAAAGATCACCATTTGTGCATTTTTTTGGTGCAAATAACTTAGCAAAATGCGTTGCATGCAGTGTATAAAGTTTTCGTACTTGAATATTTTACACTTTAATTTTGTTTATTCACATCAGATTCTGAACGTAATGACTTTTAGTGGTGCACATTCTTGTCAAAACATATGTAACAATGATGGCAACCTGGGTAACTAAGCAAAACTGCTGTCTGTAACCTACTACTGGCAACTTGCCAATTGATGCTACCAAAATAAAAAGGTAATAAAAGTCATTTTTCATGAGGGAAACTTGCATAGTGATTAAATTATAGAGTGTGCTTAAAGTCACACCGATGGATGAATGTCTTAACAGCTTAAATTTAACAAAAAAAAAAACAAAAGCAGACATGCAGGGGTTCGGGGTGGGCAGCTCCCAGCAGAATAGTCTTTCTCAACCTTTCTGAACAGTAACTACTCAAAGATGTAGTTTGGGGTTCGTGACCTCGATTTTTAGCCAAACTATCTCTTTAAATGAGTTTAACTGCAGAGCACGCACTCAATTTAATGGCCAGTCTGGTCTCAGAGCTGTGCCCTGGCCAGGCTGGTCTAATTTCTGATCTGTGATAATGCATTTTGGTGAAAGCCTGTCCTTGGATGATCTTGGACTGGCTCTTGGCACGCTCTGGGCACTGGCAGCAGGGAGGATCCAAACTCCTTAACCTTCGCTACTGCTGGACTTCAGCTGAATGGAGAAAAGTACAAGTCTGCACTTCGTGCTGCAGACTTCACGGCCTGTAGCTGTTCTGTAGTGACGGATGGGCCACTTGAGGTAAGAGAGCAATTCTGCGTGTGTAAGTGCTCTGACTTGACGTTGCACACATGCCTGTGTACAAGCACAGAGCCCAGAGGTGGGCAATATGGCATTTTCACAACACCATCACAACATTTTGCTTTTGTGAGGTTTGATAAGTTGGAATAGTTGGAATAAGTTGGAACAATGAACCAACAAAACAGAATTAAAACTGACATCAAAAGCTACTGCACAGCACTACATCCAATTAAACAGGACCAATTATGCTCTGAGAGGGATTTGAAGAACTTGTGTTCAAGGCAAACTGTCACACAGCTGTCTAAATCTCTTTTCAGGCATGAAACCCCCCATTGTAAGCGGTCTGGAGATATCGCTCCCAGCCCTACGGAGCAAATTTTGGTTCTAATTAAGCATGGTTAGGCACTCTGAGACCAAAATATCATGCTTGTATTTAAACTCTGGAATTGCTAATATTGTTAAAATCAATTGCTTTTCTCTGTGGTATCTGTGTGGATACAGCTAAGCCAGCTCTCCTATTAGTTAGGGCTTCAGGAACTGAACAGAAGTCCTAACACGTTAGATTACTATTAGCATAATTACAAAGTGACAGAGGAATCAATCAATCATGATTTCCAATAGATGGGATCAATTTCGCGACAAAACAAAATGCCACTCTAAGCCAGAGGTTGGCAACATGTGGCTCTTTTACTGCTCTGTTGCGTCTCCACAGCAGAATTAGATTTTTAGGTAAAAATAAAATAATCCTCCTTTGCAGTAAAATAAAGCTCTGCTGATCGTTCAAACACAGTTTTAGTAATAAATTGTCTTAAAGATTAAATGTTTAACTGCTAATTCACCAACCTTTAACCTTCAAGGTTGGCGCTGAGACTGCTGGTCACCATAGCAATGCAGAGAACAATCTAACCTAGCTAGTAGCTAACAAAAATACAAAGGAAAAGATTTAAGACAAACATCGATCATTTGGAGACGATCAACGCTTTTGGAAGCGCTCAGCTGGCTTCCTGATACGTTTCATCTGCAATGAGAAGCTGACAAATGCTCAGAAGTCTGAAGTTCAAAATTTTCCACTTTAAATGGTGCAGCAGTTGCATTCTGGCGCCTCAGGCACCATTTAAGGTGGAACAAGAAAATCCAAACAGCTGGTGAATGAGAAGCTGATTTAAGCCTGGTAAAAAGTCGATCATTGAGAGACATTTTACAAGAAACTATTCTACTTTTGTGGAAAAGTTTCTTGCTGAATACGCGAGAAAAGCAGCTATAGCTGAGTTAAAGCTTAAAGCAGAGCAAAGTAAGTCTGCGTTTTCGTTTGTATTATACTTTTAGCCTATACTAGGACATTAACACATACTGATAATTTACCGTCTTCAACAAAATGTTAAAATGCACACATAACATTGTGCCTCCCAAGGTGGAAATCCCAGCTATGTCACTGACTGTAAACACGGGTGGTAGTCTAATCAATGGTTTGTTAGAAACAGTCACTGTAAAACTGCTACAAGGTAAAATATACGCTAATATATCTGTCATGAGCTTCAAGTTAAACATGCAATGTCTGCTTCAATTGTCTGTGTTTAATCTAGACCTCCTAATAAATGTTCAAGCAAATCACTGTTCGTTTAGTGCTAACAGAGTACTAGAATCCCATAGGGATGCTAGCAGAAGATAGCACTATTGCTTTTTTTCCTGTGTTTTCACCACGTTTTGACATTTATATCTCAAACTGAAGGCCTAACTCTAACAATCACAGTTTGCCATCCAACTTTTAGTGATAATGATATCATATTGTCATATCGTCCACCCATTATGTATCCTATACACAGACTGACCCTGTCAAAGCCTCTGGTATCTCAAACACGTGCAGAGATCAACAGATGCAGGGAGACATACAAGCGTGAGGTTTTGTTTTAACAGAATCACACAATCAAATATTTAATCGGTCTGTATTGCTCTCTCTCTATCTCTCTTTCTCTCTCTCTCTCTCTCTCTGTCACACACATACACAGACATACATGCTGAGATTTCAATCAGGCTCTGTTGGCTGCGGTGGCGGCGGCTGGGTGGGCTCCCGTCTCTAATCAAGGCGGAGAGGAGCGGTGACAGAGAGAATGTACCAATTAAGGCAGCTGATTGGCCGCTATTCCGCCGAGGCAAAAACAATCTCTGTGCAGCAGATTGCACACTGACAGCACCAGATGTAATTCATTAATTGCGCTGATAAAACACCAAAGCCTCCAATCTGGCCATCCTGTGCACCCTGCCTTTGTTGGTTTTGGCGTGAGAAACAGACACACTGATGGCCATTTGTCAAGGCCCGTGTGGCCACTCAACTGTTCTTAATCCAGACATGACAGAAGATGATGCTGGTGAATCAAAATGAGATACTACAGCAGCATTCACAAGCCATGTCAGCTACTGTTCTTTCCAGCATGGATTACTGAGACTAATTCAACAGAGCAGCTCACCAAGCAAAAAACAGTTACAGGTACGTTACAGATTTAACCCTTTCTTGCCTTCCTACCCAGAGCTACAATAACAAGTGTTAGTGATTCGTGTTAGCTTTCTTTATTCCTTCTTTGATGGTCAGTTTCTGGCCACAGGGCAGCTCTTGACTGGATATTTCAGGGTGGTGTCCTACTTAGACCTGTAGCAACACCTCTGGTCTGTACAGTCATACCAGCACTACACATACTTCCATGTCAGTGTCACCGCTGTGCTGTGAACGATTCACCAGAAAATATCTGGTCAACAGTGGTCCTGTGGTCAGAAATTGGCCAGGGATAAATGGGTTAGAGGGAAACTGACAGACTGAGCATGACAACAGATGGTCTACAATTTGTAGTTGTAAAGCTATACAGGTAGTTGTTTATTATAAAGTGGCCAGTGAGTGGAAGCACAAGGAAGGTGTTTCTAATAAAGTGGCCAGTGAGTGGAAGTGCAAGGTAGGTATTTCTAATAAAATGGCCAGAGAATCAAGCACAAAGTAGGTGTTTCTAATAAAGTGGCCAGTGAGTGGAAGTACAAAGCAGGGTTTCAAATAAAGAGGCCAGTGAGTGGAAGTACAAGGTAGGGTTTCTAACAAAGTGGCCATAGAGTGGATGTACAAGGTAGATTTTTGTAATAAAGTGGCCTCTGAATGGACATGCAAGGTAGATGTTTCTAAAAAAGAAGTGAACAGCAAATGGCAGCACAAGGTAGGTGTTTCTAATAAAGTGGCCAGTGAGTGAATGGACAAGTTAGATGTTTCTAATTAAGTGCACAATGAATGAAGCAGAAAAAAGGTGTTTCTAGCGTTTCTAATAGAGTGGTCAGCGAGTGGAAGTACAAGGTGTGCTTCTAATAAAGTGGCCAGTTTGCACAGAGCCAGCTAGTGCAGTGGCAGGTACTCCTACCCTGCTATAAAGATAGATATGATACCTCTCCACTTGAAACCTTCACTATACCACTGTATGCTTGAAAACTGTCAAAAGCCATCAAAAAGTCATGACAGTTAGTGTCAGTTCATGACATCCGTCAGTCTTCTTTCATACAGTCAAATGTTGCCGGTGCCATGACCTTCTGTCGGCTGTTAGTTTCAGCTAACCTACTTACTAGGTCCAAAGTGTAACACCTGGTGCTTTGGCAGGGCTAATCACACACTGTCATAAAGATCCACTATGTTACAAACTGTCTTTGCCTTACCTTTTCAGCTAAGCTCTTGAGCGCCTCTCGCAGGCCGTGGCTGGAGCGCTGCTGTGCGGCCAGCAGCAGACGGTCAGCCAGTCCGGAGATGAGGGGTTGCAGCTGAGCTACAGTGCTCAGGATCTCCCTGGCCTTGGCTGTGTTCTCTGGAGAGTAGTAGATGCACTGATACGCTGTACTGTAGCTGTGAAAGGGGAGAGAAACAGAGGGAGGGAATGAATGGGAAAAAGTGGCGTGTGCTTCATAACAGCAAGGGTGTAGCTTTGGTTTTAGAGGGGGCTATGAAGTTCAAGCCCACTCTCCCCACACACACATGTACAGCTGAAAGCTATTATTAATAAATAATTATTAATAAGAATTCTTATTTTAGATGTTGGTTAACTTTATCTACACATATGTTTATATTATAATGTAAATATATTCTTATAATATGTAGTTCACTAGGCACCTGGAAATGGCTGCCTATTCAGATAAGCTAATGAGCTAACAGAGCTAACCAGTGTCACGCTGGATGCTGATGAGGACTCGCCGTCTACATAAGGTCTTTCTCCTCAGTGGATGATGTGCCAACATGTTATTTGTCAAAGAAGTATATTTTTCAGGTTTTTGGACCTGGCTAACATCAGCTAACGTACTTAGTCTAGGTAGTAATACAGCAGCGCTACCTCTCTCTTCTTGGTCACAGCATGTCTAGGCACTTGTGTTTCAGAGTGACAAAGTACAACATAACATACTAGCATATAGACCGGTCAGGCATAAAATTATGACCACCTCCTTGTTTTTACGCTCATTGTCCATTTTATCAGTTCCACTTACTGTATAGGTGCACTTTGTAGTTCAAAATTACAGACTGTAGTTCATCTGTTTCTCTGCATACTTTGTTAGCCCCCATTTACCCTGGTCTTCAGTGGTCATGACCCCCATGGACCCCTCACAGAGCAGGTACTATTTGGGTGGTGGATCTCAGCGCTGCAGTAACACTGACGTGGTGGTGTGTTAGTGTGTGGTGTGCTGGTACGTGTGGATCAGACACAGCAGTGCTGCTGGAGTTTTTAAACACTGTGTCCACTCACTGTCCACTCTATTAGACACTCCTATCTTGTCAGTCCACCTTGTAGATGTAAAGTCAGAGACGATATGTCATCTGCTGCTGCACAGTTTGTATGGGTCCTTCATCAGTGGTCAGAAGATGCCGCCCACAGGACACTGTTGGCTGGATATTTTTGGTTGGTGGACGATTCTCAGTCCAGCAGTGACACTGAGGTGTTTAAAAACTCCAGCAGCACTGCTGTGCCTGATCCACTCAGACCAGCGCAACACACATGAACACACCACCACCACATCAGTATTACTGCAGTGCTGAGAATGATCCACCACCCAAACAGTACCTGCTCTGTGAGGGTCTACGGGGGTCCTGACCACTGAAGAACAGGTTTAAAGGGGGCTAACAAAGTATGCAGAGAAACAGATGGACTACAGTCTGTAATTGTAGAACTACAAAGTGCACCTACACAGTAAGTGCAGCTGATAAAATGGACAATGAGCGTAGAAACAAGGAGCTGGTCATAATGTTATGCCTGATCGGTGTACAAGCACAATCATCGCATTTCACTGAAGGGTTTGCTTCTATATTTTTCCATCATACTGTAATGAAAAGCAATGAATGTCCAAACAGCAATTTCAGAATTCAAACTCTGGCACTTTCAACAGTTAACCCACTACTCAAGTACGGTACACATCACTAGTATGGAGATCCTCTAGTAAAAACTGCCCAGAATTAAACCTCTGAACAGATACCTTGAAATCGTGGTCAGTTCACATTTCCACTACCAGGGAAAAAAAATCTAATGTTGTTCAAACAGTGATACCAGCAGGATAAATAGTTCCAATACACACAGTTAAAGGAGCTTCAGTGAACGAATGAAAGCCATAAACTTCCTAACATGGCGTAGTTTAGCTAAAGACTGAAGAATGATTGCAGCGGCGGGTGTCTACACACAGAGAAGCAAGGTTCTGTGTTACACTTTAGCTGACCTATGGAGGACAGAATGGAATCGATACGGAGACTGCAACTCCAAACTGCTATAATTTCATCTGATCAATAGACACCCACTGGCTTTCTGTTCTTCCCTGTATCAGCAACGAGTACAAATTCATTTCGGCTTGTTTCGCGGCTAATCAATAACCTAAGTTACATAAAAGATTCATATGTTACATGAGGGCGAAGCATTCGCGCAATCACTCCCCTCATTATTATCGACGATGAGCCGATCAATCAGATTCTGTGCAGGAAATTCACAAATGATCAGCCATTAAAGTGCACTGAATAGCTCCTCGATACAGAACTGCAGTGCGCTCAGCGTGCGCGGACTGAAAGAGTCCTACAGAGATTATTCATCAAATCCAGCAGCAGAGGTTAATACTGTTTCTACCCGCAACAATCCATCATCCTGGATGTGCAAAGCAGTTTTTTTTTAAAGTGCCAAAAGCTAAATCAGGTTCTATGTAAGTGGGGAGATGTTTCTTCAGATTAGGTGACAGATTTATGCTAAAGGGTCAACATGGGTCACTGCTCCTGTTAGCCACTAAGATGGCCACATGGTTCAAGTGAACTGTACGATGCATTCATGCATGAATGAGAAGGCTTGGCATCCTTTGTCTTCACAATCTGGGAGGAAATTAACCCCTTAAATTGCAGGCATATAATCAGAAGTGGTTACTTCCATTTGCTCAAGTGCTTATACTCAAAGGGGAATTCCAGCCTAAAACTAACATACCACTGCTGTTGGAAGAAAACCTTGTATCTCCATTTTTGTTGTTTTTCAGTTTTTGACATATTTTGAAAATTCTTGTTGCTCTTGTTACGTCTGGTTCCATTGACTTACATTAAAAGTAAAGTAGGTTTTTTCCTTCTCCTGTAAAGTTACCATTTTGGAGATACAAGGTTTTGTTCCGACAGCAGTGATATGTTGTGTTTTGGATGCTGGTATGCTGGTCAGGCAGTATGGCCATGCTGGATGACCAGCTAAACCAGAATAAAGCACCTTAGACTATTACACATGCTGGTCTGTATCGCTCTTCAGCAGGGTTCACTACTCTCATACCTGCATTTACACCTATAGCAAAAAATCTAACTTACACAATTTTCTTCCGACAACAGCGATATGTTATTTGCTATGTAGTATTCAGTAGTGCAGCACTGCATCCCTCAGCCTCACTGGTTTGACACAATTGACAAATTTGTATGCCTTTTAGTATTTTCGTCAATCACTGTTCTCGTACTACAATAACCAGCATGCATCATGCAAATTTAGCACACAATCACTGGAAGTTCCCACACTACTAAAGAGAAATCCTGACTGCTAGTGTGGCCACTGATGTAGAGGCTAATAAATATGAAGTGATATTTGGCCCTCGTGCATGCACCCCAAACCAAGTGTAGTTTTTCAAAAGTTCCTTCCACCTTCAAGATACATCATCAGAAGGGGGTTTTCATACTTCTGTGTGATCAATTTTTTATTAAGTTTTGTTTACATGTATAAATGATTGACAAACAGCTGACAATTTGAAGAAATCCTCTTAAATAAATAATTAAGGGGGGATACATGGCGCACAAATTGATACACGCATACTGAGCCCTTCTTTAGTAGGGATGACAGTACAATGAAATAGTCTATGCAATCTCCAATGACAGATAGCATGTCAGCCCAAGCTTGTATTGTCTTTGATCCCTGTTTAGTCCTGCAGTCATACCTTCAAGGGTTACAGTTCTACCAAGTGTAAAAACCCCAAATCTCTGTGTATTACATTTAGGATTAAACCAGAACTGAATGATTAACGTTTTAGCTGCAGTAAACCCAGAATATAGCATTCTGCATTGGTTAAGTGTAAACATTTCACCATCATTGAGTAAACAATTAGCAGGATTTGGGACATAATTCAATGTAACAACATTAGAGTGGTTCTATTGAATTACCAGAAGTCAGTAACAGCCTCACATGTCCAAAACATATGTAAAAATGGACCTGGTACATGACCACAACAGAATGGACAGTTATAAATGGGAATCGGATCTATTTTGCAATGTTTATAAGGTGTAATAAAATCTGTATTTTTTTTTAATTAACTGATGAGCTACATTTTTAGAGGTAAAGTTACGTCAGATTCCAGTTTGAGCTGAGATCATAAGGCTCAAGCTCTTTGTCCCATGAAGAGATAACATGTAAAGGTTTTTGGGTGTTTGTTTTTAGCCAGCCTATCAAGGGCTAAGTTGAAAGCTGGTTTTCCTACTTTTTAAACTGGAAAATCTCAAATTCGAGACTGTTGTGGTACAAATGTAGGAGGAGAGTGGGCACGTCTACAATAGATGAGGCAATGGTTACTTTTTCTTTTGGTTAACATGTCGCTTTTTTCACAGATTTGTACCTTTGGAGTATTTTCAAATGATGAAGCTTTGGCTTGTATTCAGTTATATTTGTAAGGAAAGTAATGTACTTTTCATCCATCTACATTTAAGCCATTCATATTTTGTTACTGCTCTATTTCTTAGTCTTTTATTTCAGTCTGTTCTGTTGGTTCAGCACCCTGACTACTTCGCTATTGCTTATTACTCTCACTTCAGAGCTTCACTGAGAAAATGGTATCTTGGTAAGTAAAATCATCAACATCTTAAAAATACTCAATGTATCTAAGAATATTATAAGAGACTAATTTGTATATATATTTTATATGTATATATATATATATATATATATATATATATATATATATTACTTGTTTTTAGTCATCAGAAGTCTTTGAATTATCTAACAAATTATCTACCAATAGAATGAGACACTTTTATTAGTCACTTTAAACACGTAAAAAAAGTCTAAATATATATATGTATATATATATTAATACAATCTCAAAACGAGAAAATTAGATGTATTGACTATATTCTTCATTTTATGCTTGACCGAAAGGATCTCAAAAAGAGAAAAATAGCAGCGAACAAACTTCTGTTTCTAAGCTAATAGATGTTGAGAATACAAAGACATTCTTCAGTATGGGTTTAGGCTACTTCACCCACCTCTGGTAGCTAACTTATTTGGTAACTTCTATGAAACTAAAAGTTAAGCAATCCAGCTGTAAGAGTGAGAAATTCAAGTGTGGTACACAGTTTAAGGGATTAAGTTAGTGAGA